TCTGGATGATACTTCTTGATTTCCTGAAGCTCCGGGCTCATGCTGGGCAGGCTGGGCACAAGGCGACCGGTGTGACGATCTCTACCCTTCCGAGGTACTCAATCATCAAAACCAGGCCTTGCAGAAATACTTCCGCAGCAGCTTCTCGTCCAGATCAGGTTCCTCCAAAACCAGCGCAACAAATATCTTCATCCAATGTCCATCCAACAGCTTGGCAGTTCGATGATGTTCACCTCCCAACGCCCCTCCGAAGGTGTTCCAAAAGATTCCAAAAGCCCAGCCTTCTCGAATTCCAGTGTGACATACTTTGGTGCCGACCTGATGTTCCCACTTTTTGCCAGCCTTTTGAAGGATTTTGATGGATTCTGTGTGAACCTACATGCAAATAATCACCAGCCTGATGGTGTGCGTACAAACCAAGTTCCGGTCGCACAAGCTGGAACTTTGATAGAACTGCAATCCTCCACCTACTCAGTGACAAAAGTGCCATCTCTGTCCACTTACTTCTCAGATCTTGACGTCTCCCTCGATTGGTCGCGGATCACGTTTGGGCCGCTTGTGAATAACCTGGTCGGATGGCAGCCCACATATCTCACTAATATCGCTGTATCATCACATCACTGATGCTATCATTGTCTGTATATATATAATATATATATATATATATTATATATATTACATTATATTACCATGTCATACCATGTCTAGAATTCAGCTTTCATCTGTGCATTTTCTGAGCTCAGCCTGTGCTCTAAAGCGGCCGTCACTTCGATCCGATCCTGGCGCAGCGGTGCAGCCACATGGCACCGCTGCGATGGCACCGCTGCGATGGCACAGCATGGCACAGTCCTTGGGGTTGAAACGAAGCATCCTGTTGAGGATGTCGATCGAATCCGCCTGGCATATCATGGCATATCCATCATGAAGATTTAACAAGTGAGATACACGCCATAGCGATTGCATCACACTTGCAGTAGCATGATGCAAATGAGGAAGGTGTGCTTTCATCATGCAGCATGTTTCAGCATGATATTCATCCCGGTGTGGTTCCAAAACATGCCGGAAAGACGTCCACACCTGGGAACTTCACTGCCAAGCCATCACCCTCACGCCTCGTGTGACATGCTGAGGACATCTTGGGATGATTTCCCCATGCTTCCCCCAAGACATATCAAGACATATCAAGACATCCGGGGGCTATGTGCTATGTGAACATATATGTGAAATGAGGATCATTTAAGAATGACCTGATGCTTTTGCTGCCACTGCTGGATAAACTAGCAAGGGCACGCAGCGAAGCAGCGAATGTACCTCCAGAGGCTGTCTCAGTCAATGATGACCAATGATGCAACATCACGAGATTGAGAGCATTGTGGCAGTACATCACTGCTGCTTTGCTTTCCAACCTACTGAAACATCACATCCCCATACTCCCCGTCGGGTGCCCAAAAAAGTATCCTGTGTATATATATATATATAATGCAAATAATTTGTGCATTTGTTCATTAAGAAACTAGTTCTTTAGTTATTTAGTTATGTAGTTATTGAATTTTAAGTATGGCAATTTCTGGTGAATTATGACATCTTATCATGATTTCATGGAACCCACGACTCTTGGAACATCTTGGGACCATGGATCAGCCGTCAAAATGGCTGAGGTTTCTCACCTCTTGGCATCTTCGCGTTCAAGTTGCTCAACATCTGCCTCCCCAGGTGTTCCTCGGAGGACCGACCCGCAGATGGCTGTCCCTTTTCGATCTGGTTCGAAATTGGAACGTGGCAATCTGATCCTGAATCTGGCTAAAGTTGTGTTTACTCATTACTCATAATTCTATAATAGTTCATATAATAGTTCTCTAGAATCCGTGTAAATAAGTGTGGTTAGTATATATATATATAAAAAGGTTGGCTAAAGTGGCGAAGATGTCCTAGAGGCACTCCCAAGTCGCATGCCGCGATTCTGTTTTCCCTTCTTTGTGCATACTGGTTGAGGTTCACTCGATATGGCTTTGAGTGGTTTGGTGATTAAAAGCTTCTGGTTTCGGCGGTGGTCCGCAAACCTAAGGCACCAATCATGTTATATCATGATGTTGTTGGGGAGGACCCTCGATGTGTACTAAAAGCAATGCTTTTGGTATCTTTTGGTATGGCCGTGTATGTATTACCATATGCGTATATATATAATATTAAATAATTATATAGATATAATATATAGAATTGAATTAGAATTATAGATACGGCGTAACTAAACGAATTACTTTGATCATATCTGATCATCATAATATGTGTATAAATATATATATATATATTCGGCACATTTCGGAACGTGTTCGCTGCTTGCATCACCAATCGCCACGGCACCCAAATCTTACACCGCCGAAAACCTCCGAACCATCACAACCCTGCAAACGAACCAACTCCCAGAAAACAATGTCCACAAGCCAACACCCAAATTCAAAGAACTTCATGCAGTCCTTGCTAAGTGCAGAAACTTTATTTTTCCAGCACCGCATGTGGTGTTAACATGTGATAACTATTTGGTGAAGCCTCGTACATCTATCTCTAGCTTTGCTTCTGGTTTCTTTTGAAAGATCCTGGATGGATGATGTTTTCAATCCACGTGCACACTTTCACGGCTGCGGACAGATACGTCTTCTTCTTCCATATCTAACTCCACGTCCATCGAAATGCAAGCTGCAGGCGAGGCACCCAAGAGATTGAAAATCATATTCAGCTGATCATGTTTTCCGCGCCTCGTGTGAAACATCTCACAGCTCATGATGCTCATGTATGACGTTTACTTAGCAAACAAAACACGCTGTAGAAACTCAGAGCAGTGCGTGTGATACTTGTAGTCGGTCCTTGGTGCTTACAACGTTGGATTGCAATAGCAATCTATGGCGATAAACATCAATAAACAGGTCGACACATAACAATCAAAGAAAACACATGGCAAACCAAACTGAAATCAGTTTAAATTCAACAGCATTGTTCCCGGAACTTTTGCATCCAAGGGGCTTGTGCTTGTGGTCTGGCGACAAGGGAAAGCAGGAAGATCCAGGGAACAATGGTCCTCTATCCTGCTGGCACGCAACGTCCGCACTCAAATTATGATCCACATTGATCCCCTCCCAACATCTCCCAACTGTACTTGAAGCTGGGATGACATTGCGGCTTAGAAAGCCCCAGGATGCCCAAGGATGCCCAAGGCTACTTCGTCTCTCGCAACATCTTGCAACCTGCCTGCGTTCGGGTTCCCTCTAGCATACCCAAAAGCTCTGCCTCAGTCGCTCAATCTTCTGTGAGCACCGAGTCTGTCAAAATTCTGCTGAGGTCTCGACATAAATGCACCCCACAGACCAAATGTCGATGGCCTGTGCGCTGCGATGCTTTTCCGCGACCACAGGTTTCGGAATTGTAGTAACAGCGGGAAGTCACCAGCAACCCCAGTGCCTCAGTGTAATTCTCCTGCAGAAGAATCAATTCAGGAGCGCGGTACCACCTGACAGGGCTCTGAGGATACCAACCGGCTCTGGTGGTGACAGGTCATCCTTCCCAAAATAGGTAAGACTGGTACACTGTAAAACCATCCGAAAAATCTGAACACATCTGAAGGCAAATTAGGGATCATCATGGATCATCATCATCCAAGGCTGGATGGAAACTTGAAACCACCAAACTTGATCTTGCCACTATGCCAGCCCTATGGATCCCTTTCCTCTGCACCCCTGCCCTCGGAAAATAAATAAAGCTATCTCATGTCTTGAATCTTCGGATCTTTCCCATTAGGATTTGTTTCGCAGCTTCATTCATGCAGCATCCAGCTTGCCTGGTAACGACGTGCCCGGTGAGATTCCTGCACCACAGGCAACAGAGCAGCAAGACTCCGGGCAATTTCCACAACTCATTGTCACCACACGCCTCTTCAACCGCTGCGTGTGCGGGACACCAGGCACCGCCTCGCACAGGACATATAGGACATATGCTATTCATTGCTATTCCATGCCCAGCATTGCCCAGCTACCATCATCCACAAAGCCCCACCCCCAATCACCCCCACCTCGGCCTCACCATCACCTCGAGGCCTCAGGTGTGTCCCGCATGTCCCATGAGGAAGGGAGCTTGCTTCGCAGGTGACAAATGTGGCGGTCACTGCGATGCTGTGCTAAGATGTGCTAAGCAAGCAGCGTGTTTGGCAGCCTTGGTTCTCAAGGTTTGTGTTGCATTTCTTCATCTCTGAGACTGGGAAAGGCTAGAAAACAAAAACTGACACAGTGCGACATGGTGTAGCTGCTGTTTGGGGAACGTTGGGTCTTGCAGCCCGCCATTGCGTGTCTTTGCATGTGTTTGGTGTGATGTGGTGCAGCAGTTTCAAATGGCTTCAACCTGCGCATATGAACAAAATTAAACACATGCGCACAAGAGAACAAATCTTACAGGAAGACGACAATGTCGTACCGCTGCGTCCCTTTTGTGCGTTCCCGCATGTAAACGGGGCATTTAGGAAACTATACCTTAATCATCCCTTGTTCGGCCTTAGTTATTCACAGAGCTTGAAGGTGCTTCAAATACAGGACTACACAACTGGGATGCAACTGGTGTCTGGCAGGATGAGAACCGGCCAAAGCAGTATGGAAAAGATGGAAAAGATGGAAGAAGTATGATGAAATTCTTAGGACGTGCAAAATTTACAGTATGACCAGTATGGACTTTGCACGAACATTTGGGTTTGCTTGCAGAGAATCGAACAACTGAGCACCCAAAATGAGGCGTCCATTGAGGGCCGTGAAAGCTTGTCGCTAAATGTTTTTCTTCTGCTACTAAGCCACTAAGCTACCCTAGTTGTTGCTGCCAATGTCATTTTAGTTGCACATTTGTTGTTACCCAATGTGTTTTCTTTTTTCTGACGCTTTTTGTGGGGTAAAGCGGCACAGGTTGTCAGGACTTGGCTCATCTTGGCTCCAAACGCATGAAGATGCGGCTGCTCCGCTGCTTCTATTGCTCGAGATAGTCCGAAGTCGCAGATCTTGACGGAGCAGTCCTAATAAGTTGCGGCAATGGCAGTCAGGCAGTCCTTACTTGGTTTCATTTGGTTTCTCAAACCTCGTCATGGAGCGAAAGGATCAAGTTCAATGACAGGAGGTTCCCGCAGTTGTCCTTGCTATATTTAGGCCACCTGAAGTGTGACTTGGCGCAAGATTCTTTTCAGTCGCAATTGGCTATCCAAAGTCGCACTTGCACGTGTGCCACAGCCGGCTGCCGGCTGCACTCTATACAATTATAAAATTATTAATAACTGCATATCATCAAAATGCATCATGCTCTATCAATAAGTGACAGGGGGCTCAAGATTCCAAACACGACTGTGGCACATCTTGAAAAGCCACGGAGAGCATCAAAACGTAAACATACAGAAGAAACTGTCACCAACGTTATCGAACATGCACGTTCCCAGGATGGTGTCTGGAATCCTTCTGATCCTTCAGTGCTGCAATTCTTCGTTGCAGTATTCTTCGTTGTCGCGCAAGCACTAGCTGCTGAATCTGGCCGAGATTTCAGCCATCGGAATTTTTCCCATCCTCAAAGCGACGTCCCCAAATCTTCCACCGTTCGCAAAGTCCACATAGGTACGGTAGAGAGCCACCAGTGCCCTCTGGTTCAGTAGGAAATCCGCTACCGATTTTGGGGAAATCCGTCACCGATTTTAGGGAAATTAGCCACTGACTGGGGAAATCCGACTTTGGGAAAATCAGCCACCGACTTTGAGAAAAATCTGCCACAGACTTTAGGAAAACCTGCCACAGACTTTGGGAAAATCAGCCACCGACTTTGGGAAAATCTGCCACAGAGAAAGTCATCAAAGATCTCCACATCAGATTCTGGAGAGAAACGCATCAGGAATTTCACGCCCTCCAAACGTAGTGATCTCAAATAATATGGGAAATCGTCTCCAGATCAAGGTATGTGTACCATTGCCCGCTTTCTGTTTCCTTCTGCCACCACTGTCAGACACATTAGGGAATGGAACGGAGCCGCCTTGAAACGGGGAGCGACCTGATTGATTCCATCAAAGCAGCAGTCCCTAGCCACTTCAAGTTTGAGCGACTTGAGGTGTGGGAAGGAGTCCAGCGGATAAAAGAGGCATGATAATCCCAAAAGCACGCACACCTCCATGTAACCTGTAAGATCTGCGATACAGATTTAGCTCCATCATATGCTACATCAAAGTTCTGCCCAGAGGTGTTCGGACTCAAAGCCACAACATCACAGCAAATCGCTGACACAAATTGCAGTCGACGCAACGATGTCAAAAAATTGGTCAAGTCGCCGATGCTTTTGCAGGTGATGGAAGAATCACACTTCATCGCCGTAGCAACTGATCTAACTGCAAACTGCCATCCCCGGGAGAGTTGGGCTGCTTTTTGAAGCCATCGAACTGGCAAAAACGCAAGGACTCCCACATAGCCCTCGAAAGGAAGCAAGCGAAAGAGATCTCCTGCTGAGTTGGCAGGATACTCCAACATGCTCGGCTGTCAACTCCCAAAAAATTGTCTGGTCGATTTTCCACTGAGTCACAGTGCCCCCCTTCGACCCTGCTTGAGCCGGATGCAAACCATCAACGACTGACATCAATAGAGGCATCTTGTTGCGAAGAAATTAAAATTTTGACTGGGGCTATCTGGGGCTTCAAATCACACAAATTGATACAAATTGTAGAAGGGGATCCTCTTGCAGCATCAAGCTTGCAATGTAGCAGGGTCCCTCCTGTTCATATCTATTCACCATGACCAGCACAGGAATTTCTTGATACTTTTTTGAGGCATCACCAAGCCTTAAGATCCCAAATTGTCAAGAGATGTGGTGCCTGGTTCACAAGGCAGTTGGCCGGCTTCAGGTCACGATGGTAGATACCAGCCTGGTCCCCAGCACCATTCCCAGGCTGCGCTGGTCATGGATGCTGCACCATACTGCTTGAGGTCTGGACTGAGTGGAGATATTTCAGGCCCACTAGCAGGTTGTACAGCAAGGTATTGATGTGCAAAGGGGTCAGGGTCACATCCTGCGGCGAAAATGACTCTGAGGATTGAAAACAGGTGAAGACTTTCTCACATGGTCTCTTGATTCTGTAGCACTGATGTTCACGAGCTGACAAGTCTCACTATCCACAGCGTAACATACGTGCGTTGTCACCTCATCTTCTTCAGATGTTTGGAGTTTCTTAGGGCAACGAACCATTCCAATATGCCCTTGTAAACCTCGTGGCAGAGGACCTCCCCCCAAGGTCCGTTCGGCACAGCTTCTTGAGATCAGAATCGCAAATCTCCATTACCATGTACAGTTCATCGAACCTGGCCACTGTGCAATAGCTTGGGGTCTGAGGACTATGACTACACCGACTACACCCGATTTTTTTGTTGAGGTTGCCCCTGAATTAGGCATGTTCGGACACGTTAGTGATTGTACCTCAAGTTGAAAGCATTTTTGGATTGTTCTGCCCAGGAAAACGGTCACGAGGTGACGAGGTGCTTCAAAAAACAGCCCCATAAAATCCCATCATTCTCCATATGCAACTGAGCCAGGGAGTCGTATGAATGTTGCTTGGCGCCACCTTAGCGGTCCAAGCCATGTATCCTGTGGATTCCTGTGGACCTTGCGCCATTTCGGCGTCCCATCGGCTCAGCTTCAAACGATGTCATAGACTTGAACCTTCACGCAGGAGATAATCACACTTTCAGGGCCACACACCAAGGATCATCTTTATCATCTTTACATGGTATGCAAGCTTTCATGTTGTTATAATAGTTACATATATAAGTATGTATGTTTCTATATGTTTTTATATGTTTTTATTGTTTCATGGTTCTGGTGCAGTTTTATTGACTATCACGCCGTTTCTATGGCACAAGGCATTATAGTCCAGAAATGTCCAGAACTCAAGCTGATCAAGCTGTAGATGATTGGAACAGGCAGATATAGCCAGGACCCGCACAATATTCTCATGCTCAAGTTTGGACAGAATCGCGATCTCCCGAAGAATTCGCCTCACCACAGAAACATGCGACGGAATGGACGGGGAGCAGAATCACATCAACTGGCTCAGTGCCTGCAGCAGGCCAAACAAGCAAATCAAATCTTCAAGTCATCTGTATATGAGAAGCAGGCTTACAATCGATCAAGTCCTCAAACATGTGGGCAATCCTGGCAAAGGCAATATAATTAACGCCACCGAATCTCACACATCACTACACATCTGTTGCAATCTGGAGCAGCTCCTGATTCTGATGTGCTCTACCCACCGTGTTCTTAAAATAACAAGGGGTTGGCGTCTTTAAAAAAACCATGGTACCTACGTAGGAATTCGTAGGAACAATTTCCCTGAGATCTGCTTCACCGCTGCGCTGGCCTCTTGATCGCCACCAAGCGCTTTTTGTCGTTGTCGAAAGCCTGACCGTGGAGGCACCACCCTGATTTTTACTATACATGGCATATCGCGACATTTATAGTAGCATCAGTAGCTTGTGTCACCTCCTATCAAATCTATCAATGGCACTTGGGAGCAAACTTGGAGTCACCATGAGTCACCCCACCTCGCACACGCTGCCATAGGAACCCGTGCCGATGAGCTGCTTGACCTGCACAGCACAACCAAGACGACTCTCCAAAGAAAATGGTCGAAGTACCATGAAGTGCCAATCTTCATCCATCCAAATTTGAATCAGCAGGCTTGAAATGCTTGAAATCACAATGGAACAGCTCAAGGAAAAGAATTATCTGGCTCGGTCCTCATAGTTCGTCGGAATCTTCCATCTGTCGCCAGGACCTTTTGGAATGCTTGGACCAGAAGGCCTTAGCCCAACATTTGCGTATATTTGCGTCAAGCTGTCCTCTGCGAGCGGTACTGTGCCAGCCAGTGAGCAACTCAATTTAACGGCTTGGCACATGTGCATTGATATGCATTGATGCAAGATGCTCCCAATTCACCCTGATTCTGGACAGTTCAAGCATCCGGAAAATACATGTCGTGAACGTATATATATATAACTATATATATATTATATAATTATAGGTATATAATTATAATTATAATTATATAATTATATATATATAGGTTTCGACATGGAGGGCAAGGGAATGTTGGCTTAGGAAGCCATTTTTGAAAGTGCTTGAAAAAACCCTGACATCCAGCACAAAGCGAATCCAGCGCGCTTCTTTTATCTTCGGTTCATCACAAATCGCAAGCCGTCTTCGCTGCCAAAACTGGCGCATGGCTTCATGGACAGGGTTGGTCCCTTGCATTGCCAGATTGCGCTTGAGAAAGCGCTGGGTCAACAAAGAGCTGAGTCTGAAACTTCTCCAAAGCGTAATCTTCAAACGTTCCTGGCCACAACACCAACAACCACAGGTCCCCGGTGGAGATCCTGCGGGAGGATTGGTTGGTGTCAAACATAGTTGACATAGTTGCTGAGAAATTCGCAGCTGAACGGATTCGATTTGAACGGTGCCTTCCTCTTTGTCGGCTTCATTTTGATGGCTAAAATCCTGCGCAATGGACCACGTGAACCCCGTGCCTCCTGGGATGTTGGTTGCATGGTACCAAGCCGCAGTGTCAATCAGCAGTTGGTCCCCTTCTCCACAGGCAATTTCGATTCTCTCGGATGAAAGCATGGGCACATTCATGACTTTATCCCAGCTTTCTGCCCCGGCATTGGGCCGAAGCATCCACAACTTTCGCCCACAGATTTGACTGTGCATTGTTATTACTCCTGGCCGCAGTTGATCGACATGTTCAGGTTTCCCAGCCATAGGTCTTGACTCTGCATTGGAGCCAAAGAATGACCACACTGTGCCTGTCGGATGCCAATCTTTAAGGGGAATGCGAAGCAAGTCTGGATCAACGGAGCTCATAGAACTTAAGAAATCGGTTGCTGCATCTTTCTCCAACACAAAGCTGCTGTACCATTCCTTTGGGAAGGTGTTGAAAGAGTGCCATGATAAGGCAAGTGACGAGGTAACCCTATCTATTCGATATGACTGAACGATGATTATAGCATGCATGAACGATTGTGAATGTCACCCAACTTTGGGAACCCTCCAGTTACTCAGTTTTCCAATTGTTTTCCTTAGTTTTCCCCGTCCTCAGTCTGTGCCCCAGCCAAGGCTACTTTGGCCAGTTCCAATGAGCCAGTGGTGCTTTCCATGGTCCAATGATCCGAGATGTTGGACTGTGACACAAAGTCCAGGAGCAAACTTTGCCGCCGCTGTGTTGAGGGCTCCATTTTTGGGCGCTGCAATCGCAGGTGTATCAGCCGATATCTTTGAAAGATCTCTTGGCATTGCTGCCGACAGCTGTCACTGTCCTCCCACTGCACTGAGGGAAAACCACAACTGGCGCCGTGCATGGTAGTAAATGCAAGTTAAGTAGAAAATGCTAGAACATATCTTTGTTGGAAGCGCATATCAAGTGCCAAGAAAGGCAGATAAACCATGATAAACCATGATAAACCAGCCAAACAGAAGGCTCTGGCCCTAATTTGTGGGGTTCCAAATCAATCACGGGTTTGATGTCTCCCGTGATTTGCAGCGCGTAAAAAATCGAAGGGACGACCCAATGATGTTCATCGTTGCTGTGCAACATTTGAAATGCATTTGAAATGCCACCATTTTGCGCTTTGATTCTGACAAAGACAAAACATGACAAAACATTCCGTTTTCAACTCCTTCCCTGCAGTCTAGTGCCTTGCAGCTGCTATCCTACATCGACGTGAAGCTCGTGCTAAGCGCTGCACTGGAGAGCTAGGGGCTGCGGAGTTAGTGCTACGTTAAATCCAAGCCATGCCTAGTCCACACGCTGCCTATGGCTCCCTATGGCTCCCTATGGCTCCCTATGGCTCCCTATGGCTCCCTATGGCTCCCTATGGCTCCCTATGGCTCCCTGTATACCATCTGGAACCATCTGGCATTGTGCAGGACCAAGGCCCAAGCTTATCCTCGGCCTGGACCAAAGCATCCAAAGCAAGTATTCTTCACATCTATTCATTCACAGCTTGGTCAGCGTGGCCACAAAAGCTACAAAGAATCTGGGAATATCTGGGATAATATGGGCCTTCTTGTCGTGAGCGTCGCTGAATGATACATGCCTGGGAACAAAAGGGAGCCAGTTTCAATAAAATAGAATTAGTGGATGTCATGTGGATGTCCTATGATTTCCTACATGTCAACTTCTGCTTCCCATTATCCACGTATCACGTATCCATCACCTTCAATTTACAGTATAAGGAAACATGAGGAATAAATGCATGCGATTGCGTATATGCAACCCTTGGGTCAATCCGTTTCTTGGATCCCGACCGTTTTGCTTCCTTTGGCTCCATCCTTCGGTCCTTCCGTTTTTCGCGTCCTGCACTATCAGCACACCAAACCAAGCTCGTCTCAAGCTCCCAACCGGCCTTGGCACACCCCAAGTTGTGCCCTGCAATCGAATTCGCAAGCGAAAGCGGGTGTGCCAAATAATCTCTACTAGATTTGAGCCAAAATGCCAAAGAAATCCTTCACTGCCACAGTGTTCTCAAATGCTCACCGCAAATGGTGCCCATGAAGGTGTGCTCAAGCTTTGGATGTCGAATACAAATACTAGAGACGTTCTAAGTTCTATAATCCACAGCAGAGTGACGGCAATTCCACCAGAATCAAGGACCAGCGATTCCATACATTTTTGGATCCTGACTGAGGGTCACCCGGAAGCAGCGCCGAAATTAATCACAGCACGGGGTCTTTGCAAACATTTGGCCTGGAAAAATGTTCCAGCGCCAAATTGTTTGACAAATGCTATGCACAATTGGCTGCGAGAGATGATGCGAAAAAGAGTCCGGGTATGGGTGTTCATTCGAAAACCCAGAAAGATCCTGCCCAAATCGAAGCCAGGACGTGGCACTGGCAACATCAGAACTGATCAGAACTGATTCATGAGTCGAAGTTCTTTGGCCCACGGCAGTCTTCAAAGCCATCGTCCCAGCCAGTTCCTGTCCAGGACCCATTGCTCCAGAATACCATGATCAGTTTCAGTTTGCTTGTCCTGAAGGCAGCTAACTCCTGCAATTTCAAACATGTCATTCCGGTTTCGTCTGGTTTCGTCTGGTTTGAGAAGTGTTTCGAGAAGTGTTTCGACTTAGATGGCCATGGCCAGCCATGGCCAGCCATGGCCAGCCACAGATCTGCACAGCATAACTTTGCAACACCAGGCAGTCCGTGTGACCTGCATCTTCATACCTCACATTTGGTGGGCGCCGAACTTCCCCGACCTGGGCTGCTCAAATTTTGCACAGGGCACCGGAGACTGAACTGCACAAATGTTGAGATTTCATGAGATTTCTTCAAATCATGTCAAATCTCAGCATATCTCAACATATCTCAACATATCTCAACATATCTCAACATATCTCAACATATCTCAACATTCTCAACATAAAACGCTTGGCAATGGTGATGCTCTCATATTCCACCAGCTGCACATCAGGAGTTGCAAGATAAGCAAGATATACTTCATGTCAGGAATCATCAAGGTCACCGTCACTGCTGTCCTCCTTTTGGTCGTCATCATTGTCTCATCACGGCCATCACCATCATCGCTACGCTGACAAGTTTAAATCACCATCCCCATACACAACATCGCATTCTGTCTTGAAATGTCTATAGTCTGAATATTCTGAAGCGTTTCTAGCACTTTACCATCCTACACCAACACTCTAAGAGACTCTAGGTGCTGTGCATCGAAGTTGGCCAAGCTATCTTGCCGCTTGAGCTGGGGTATGAACCTCACAACACAAGTAGAATCCAAATATGAAGCCTGCCGGGTCTCATCGTCATTTCATTCATACCTCCTTGACCCCGGTTGAAAGAAAAGTGTGCATCAAATCACCTGCGCATGTGGGGTGCAGATTTACATAGATTTACCATAGATTTAGATACTCAACTGAATTCTGTTTCTGAGTTCACATGTTTCAAAATATTCAAATTTCCATATACTCACATAAATTTCACATGTGGCATCATATTCCCCAAAGTTGGAACACAACCGAGGCATCCAACGGCGCAGGCATTGTACGATGATCCAAGGCATCCCAGTCGAACCCTTCATAGAAGCTATGCACCTGTGCACAACGGATGCAGGTGGTGATAGAATAACCATACCCATTTTGGGTTATGATATATAATATGTATATATGTATATGTATATGTATATATGTATATGTATATCTATATCATCATCATCATCATCATCATCATCATCCTCATCCTCATCCTCGTCATCATTATATATATATATTATATTATATGTATCATCATGATTATGATTCATGATCATTCTATGTGTGTGTGCGTGAAATGGCACTGTGCTTAGCACATCATGAATATTTTCCTTGTCACTTGTCAGTGGTGTGTGCTCAATGTGCTGGTGTGAATCACCTTCATCGAGTACTATATCATCTATATCCCGTAGGGTTTGAAAATCTTTGAAACATCTCAGAAATTGGGCCATATTGGGCCCCAATTTATCTCCCTCAAAATGGCCATTTGGGGATGGGTCAAAACCCTGGTACCTAGTGAACCCTAAAATAGCTGGTAAATGGATGTTCATTCCACTAAAAATGGTACTTATAGGTATTGATCCATAGCCATTTGAATATGGGGAAGTGATAGAAATTCGTGATGGAAAAGTGATGGGAATCTGTCAGATGTCTCGATGGCCTCGATGTTGCGGGCACCACCTTTCCGCATTGGCAAACGTTCCGAAGGCTCCTCAGATGGCAGATGGGAGAAGCCGAGCCCAACTGCACACTACAAACATCTATAAACCGTGGTTGATTCAGATTGATTCATGATTCATATGATTCTTTGAATTTCTTTGATCATTTTGATCTGACTTTGACAGGAAGAGAGTACTGGGTCACTGTGACATCAACCAGAGTCCTCCTGGCACAGCGCTCGGACGAACTCGGACCATGGCCCTTTGGGACTCTTGGGAAAAGTGACTGCCTGGCCATGTCAACCACTGAACTACAAAAGCTGGTGCTTCTCCTGCTGGGAAAGGGCAAATCCAAATGATCCAAATGATCCAAATGATCCAAATGTGCAAAAAATCACACAAAAGTATTATGTTATAGATGTTATAGATGTTATAGTCACATACTATAGTCTAGTAGTTCATGTTCATGTTCCTCATCGCCGCATCGCCATCTCTAGCAACATGATCTCATCGAGCCGGCACCTGGATACCTTGTTTGATCTGTCTAAAGACCTGCATCGGCTCGTTGGCCGTGAATGGCCTGAGATGAAGGGCCAACGACCATCGGGGATGCCTGTGATATCCTATGATATCCATTGATATGTGTGTAGTTGTTTTTCCATTGATATTTGGGGATCCATTGATATATCCTATGTAGTTGTTGTTTTTCCCCGTAATCAGTACAAATGAATAAGAATGCACTCAACAGAACCTCATATTTATCGATGAGACAATGTCGAAATGTACACACATACAGAATCATACATACTGCAAATCATATGTTGGATATATGTTGGATATATGTTGGATATATGTGTTCATTACGTATCCATCATTGTTGGATCTTGTTGTCTGCGGATTCGATTGTTGGTTCACGTTCAAAAAACTGACACAAGCTGAGGCTGTCACGAATCACCAACGATGAGTTCGAAGGTAAGAACCTGGCTTCCCATGGCTTCCCATGGCTTCCCACCCAAGTCAAGATTCTATGACGTGACTTAGTTATGATATAATGATATATTATGATCCCGATGTATCATATATCCCAAAAACAGATAAAAATAGTGGATACTATATATATATATATACAATCCTCTACAATCCCCATTAATCCCCTACATAATCTTCAACTAATCTCCAACTTGACACAGCTGGAGCGGAGTGTAAAGTTCTGAGGATGCAACGCCCAGTGACCACCAGTCTACCTCTGTATGACCCATCGGATCAAACAAGTCTCACCAGATCTCACCAGTGAACAGCTGGAAACTTGGCTCACTTGGTGTGTTTCAACTCATCGCCCTGCAATACTTCCGAGGCAAGCTCTGCAACCGTGTGTCCCATATGGAGCACCTAAGCAGCCATTTCACACGTAAAAAACACAACTCCAGGGAAGGTCTGGAGATGTCTGGAGCTGATCAACAAGAAGCCCAACCATTGGGAATCCCAACCATTTCCGGCGCAAAGTATTCCGGAGTTCCGCAGGTAGTGTAAGCATATCCTAAGTCCGTGCGCAGGACCTTTCACCGAGCACAAAGTAAACCCTTGAGCAAACCCTTGACTATTCAGTTTAATTACCATGGTTTACCCGTTGCTCTTTGGACATCGCATTTTTATCTGGGATTTGCACCGCAAACGCCACTGCAGTAATTATCAACATTGCTGCACCTCCCATCTGAGATTCTTGCCAATTACGAATTTAGCCAAGCCAAAGTCTGTGACCTGCCAAAATCGACTTGAAATGCTTGCACGGGCGAATTATTTGCGTGCAATTTGAAGTGTAGGTGCACGCACTCGCTTGATCTCGCTTGCACACGCAGTGTAGGCATGCTTATACGGCACACCTGTGTAGAATCTGTTTAGAATGATTTCAATGCCCTCGCGTGATCGCGTGTGATCGTGCGATCAACAGCGTATTGTGCAATTCCTCATCTGGACACTGAACCTCCTGACTGCGCAAGGAACATTAGAAAATTCGATGGCTCTACACACTTTGCAACATCCACACAGAACCAAGCAAGGTCACACAACCTGGTGACACAAAGGCGTAGAAATGAGATACGTAGATAGGCTTGTCGCTCTCACCTATTTGTGCAGTCGAGACAGGCTTTAAAGACAACGGTTGCACTGCGGTTGTGCTAAACCAACGAAAAAAGAGAATTGATGAGAATTGCATTGAAGATCATTGAGGTGCCCAGTGCCTTGCAATAGCCTTGTGAATCCAAGAGAAGATTCTCTGGTTTCCTGGCAGCCCGAAGCCAAGTACATTCCACACGCCAAGTATGACGCATCGCCTTGAAACTGCGGCCAAGCTGCATATCACGGTATATAATATGACGTTGATGAAGATGTTGAAAGGCACGGACTACACACGCAACCTGCAGCGACATGGAGAGGGGAGATGCAGCATGAGCGAGTATACATTATAAACTATAAACTCATACACCACTATATGACTATATGCTCATGCTGGAGCGGAACACTTGAGGCACTGGCATAAAATCGAGCGTGATTCAGGGAACCATGAAGGTCATTTCGCTGGTAGACCTTGAAGCCGCTTTGTCTCGGACTCGACTTAGAGATTGCATCTATCCAGATTTACTGTATTTCATACTCATAATCATGATCTTGTTTCGTACATTCATCTGTAAATCCAACTATCTATAGCTACTTACTCCACCCAAACAATCCAGCCAGAAACATGTAATATATATATATAGCCAGTTTGGGGCACACAGTCCAAACCAGGTAATTGTCTAAGTCCCTATATGATATGTCCCTATTCTTTGCCGCGTGAGGTCCTCAACTGGCACAACACGGTTCTCCCAAGACCTTTAACTCATATCGCGAAGACATGTGAATCCAATTGAAAGAGCAAAGCATGATCAGTTGTGAATTTGAACTTTGAACACGCTGTGCACTTTTACTGTGCAGGCTCCCCTCCTAAAAAAAAGTGCACGCTGCCAGCGGCAACCCCATGCGGGTGCATACGAGATGCAGTGAAGAGGTCGCCGCCCAGCGCAGGCCTGACAGCCCAAAATAATAAAGGAACATAGTGATACAATGTGATACATATATCCTCATGCAAGTTCAACATAGTGCAAGTGTATACACAGGTCATAATATAACAATATAGCTGGGCTTTAGCGCTCAAAGTGACGGCCAAAAGGATTCCACATGACCTAGGACCTAGATAAACCATGATAAACCTGGCCACTGAGGGCAGAACTCCAAAAGAAAGTGTAGCCGCTGTGGTTCTGTCATGGTTTTGCCACTGGGCGTTGGGCATTAGCAAAGAATTCAGCTATGATCAGCTGTTTTTCCATCCCTCCGGCACTGGTTGGAGCTGCTTCATTTGAGGGACTCTGAATGGCTCTGATTCAAAAGGGCACTTGCCTTGTGCAAAGAATTGCCAAACAAATGCAAGACAGGCAAGGCTTACCGTTGAAGGTTGCAGCCAGCCGAATGATGAAAGGGCTCTGGGTCATCCGGAGCACATTCTTTTCATTCAGGACACTCAGTTCCTGCCTGGGTAGGAGAAGGCAGTCGAATTGCAGGTGCTCTTAGCTGTCGCTGTGTCTTGGGATCGTACTGTCTTTGGACAATATAGCCTGGCTGCAGCTTACCATCGTGAAGCAGTGTGTTGGTTGATGGTTCGTATGAAACGAGGAGTTACCAGTAATTACTGCAATCTTTGTAGGACCTCTGATACCTTCTCTCTCACTGCAAAGCATTCTATGGCCCGATTTGTCATTCTGTGGATTCTGTGGCAGGGCGTCATCGTTGTGTCATCACATTGGCCTTTCGACAGGGTCTTTAAGGCGAAGATATTTCCTGTAATGCTGCACCTCAGTGCTGTCACAGGACTTCTCCCATCCCACTGGTCACAGCGTAGAAAGACCTAAGGCAACTAAGGAAGAGACCGCTGAAGCGTCACAGTTCCGAAGCCACCGCAACCAATGAGACCAATCTGCTTCAGGGCTCTCAACTCATACTTCACCATAGCTTTTGGACCTCGTTGCGATCCGAAAAGCAAAATGGATCAACATGGTTTGTCTCCAGAAATTGACTTATAATGAGTAATCAGAGAATTTGATATGGTCTTATAATATCTTATAATGTCTAGAATGTTTGATATATTTTGACATAATAACCCCAATGTCAGAATGTCAGAACCGAACTTCTCTCAGGCGTGCACTCAAGCCACAGACCATCTCGTCAGGACGCCTCAACGGTCGGGTCAATCATGGTGGTAAGCCACATATGTTAGATAGATAGATAGATAGATAGATAGATAGATAGATGGATGGATAGATAGATAGATCGATAGATCGATAGAGAGAGATAGATAGATAGATAGATAGATAGATAGATCGATAGATCGATAGAGAGAGAGATAGAGAGATAGATACATAGATAGATTAGATAGATAGATGGATGGATAGTTTAGATAGATAGATAGATAGAAAGATAGAAAGAATAGATAGATAGAAAGAATAGATAGAAAGAATAGATAGAAAGAATAGATAGAAAGAATAGATAGATAGATAGATAGATAAGAAAGAAAGAAAGAAAGAAAGAAAGATAGAAAGAAAGAAAGAGAGATAGACAGATAGAAAGATAGAGAGATAGATAGAGAGATAGACAGATAGAGAGATAGAGAGATAGACAGATAGACAGATAGACAGATAGATTAGATAGATTAGATAGATTAGATAGATTGGATAGATTAGATAGATTAGATAGATTAGATAGATTAGATAGATTAGATAGATTAGATAGATTAGATAGATTAGATAGATTAGATAGATAGGATAGGATAGGATAGGATAGGATAGAATAGGATAGATAGATGCAAAGCTACATAGCTACATAGCTAGATGGATAGATAGATAGATAGATAGAAAGAATAGATAGAAAGAATAGATAGAAAGAATAGATAGAAAGAACAGATAGATAGAAAGAATAGATAGATAGAAAGGATAGATAGGTAGAAAGAATAGATAGATAGATAGATAGATATATAGATATATAGATAGATAGATAGATAGAATAGATAGAATAGATAGATAGATAGAAAGAATAGATAGAACGAATAGATAGATAGAACGAATAGATAAATAGAACGAATAGATAGATAGAACGAATAGATAGATAGAAAGAATAGATAGATAAAGAATAGATAGATAGAAAGAATAGATAGATAGAAAGAATAGATAGATAGAAAGAATAGATAGATAGAAAGAATAGATAGATAGAAAGAATAGATAGATAGAAAGAATAGATAGATAGAAAGAATAGATAGATAGATAATATAGATAGATAGATAGATAGATAGATAGATAGATAGATAGATAGATAGATAGATCGATAGATAGATAGATAGATAGAGAGATAGATAGATAGATAGATAGATAGAGAGAGAGAGAGATAGATAGATAGATAGATAGGTAGATAGATAGATAGATAGACAGACAAATAGATAGATAGATCGATATATGCATATATATATATATGTTTGTGTGCGCGTGTGTGTCTCTGTGTGTGTGTTCATGCTAGTCCATAGATTTATATATATATAGGCATCGGATGGCATCGGTAATTTGACCTCTCGAAATCCTCTGCGGGAGCAGCGACTCCTCTGTCAACTCTGTCAAAGCTTGGGAGTCCGACACGACGCTGAGAAAGTGCTCACCTGTTCTCCATCAGTTCCACTCTCTCTGTCGGTATTTCCAGATGGGATGGTATGACCCGAAACATCCGAAACTGGAAATTAAACAGGATTCTCAAAAATAAGCATCAAAGAAACACATGCTTCATATTTGGTTCATACTCAAAGCTAAAACAGTACCTTATGGGGACCCCCGTACCAATTCCATTGGATTTCCATGGTATCCTGCCGATTCCTGCCGCATGAGGCCCCCCACGGTCCAAAGCCAAAACCCGCACCTGTTGTTGCAAAACTACAACCGGTAACGGCAGCAACGTGACGTTTTTTCCCATGTGGGGCCTGAAGCCCCAAACCATAGCAGCTACCGCCATTTCAACTGAATCGAAAGGACAACAGTCAACAGCTAACTTGGAAGCCACCAAGCTGAAGTCAAACACGTCAGAAGGGAGCGCCCAAGCAATGAGGCGACCCTCTGGAACCCCACCTTCGGAGACATTGCAGTGATGGTCGCAGCCCGTGGTTCATCCTGCGACAAGCCACTGATGAGCTTGAGGCTGCCAATGCAATGCACCACACAAATGGAACCCAAATCCTCACTCCATCCTCTGAGGACGTCACATTTAACAGTGCCCGCTCTCCAAAAAAGTTTGCGTTGGAGCTCACTGCGTTCTGAGCAAGGACATCATTAACTGTCTTTGGCCATGGTATCTATGGTGGTAGCCCATGTTTTGCAGTGCCAACCAAAGCCATCAGGTGGCGGGATGCTAAGCACAGATGTCAGATGTCGTCAAAACAAATCATGTGCTGGGATTCTGGCCCCCTCAAGCTGAGTGACCTTTGTCCCATCCACATTGACAGATACCTGGACCACATCCACTGCACGATATGAGAGATCAATAGAAATGACACGTGGGAAAGGACAGGACATATCTCGATTCCGTCAAACTTGCCTGGCCATCGTAGAGGATGTAAAACGTATCTCCCTCTTCGCCTTGCCTCAGCACAAACATCGCGTGCCAAAATGCAGCTAATATGCGTCATATTCATATAGATCAAGCACAGCTGCATACCAGTTGAGCTGCATGATACTGAATGTACTTCTGATTGTTTGGAGCAGCAGCAGCAGCAGCAGCAACCACAACCACAACCACAACGACCATGGTGACGACGACGGTGACGATGACGAAGAAGACGACGACCACCACCACAACAACAACAACAAGAACCACAACCACAAACAGAACCAGAACCAGAACCAGAACCACCACAAACACCGACACATGGGACAACAAGAACGACGAGCACATAGAAGTACGCGAGTCAGAAGATCCACGGCAATCAAAGCCAAACCAGCCAATTCTATAGCTGAGCTGAGCGCTGAATAATGGTCTCACCCTGATAGAAAGTCATCCTGAGTATAGTTGTAAGATGTTGCAAGTCATCCTGAGTATAGTTGCAAAATGTCGCAAAGACACCAGCTACCGGTACCGAGCTAGGCGATGTGCCAAAATGTCCCAAATGTAACTATATAAATTTGCATTTTTGCCGTCTTTGCCAAGGACACCCACAGTGCAAAGCGTTCCCAGCATCAACCCTTTAAAAACAGCAAACCAGGGCCACCGCTCTACAAGGACAGAGGCAAGCTGTGCCTGGTGTGGGGGATGTGCCAACGGAGCGGGCGGTACAGTATCGACTCGCAGTTCCAAGGAGGGTAGAAATACGTTTCATCTCCACTAGCGTGGGACTTTCGTCAATGATGAACGAGGCGTTGACACACATGCCCACACATGGATCTGGATACACATGCAAATCTCTCGGCATATATAGGTTGTTCATTTGCTCACTTTCGCACATCTTTCTGTGAGCCTTTTCATCATTGGTCAAGTGCTTGAGAATGTCCACTCGCGGCAACCTGAAAGGAAATGCTCGTTGGCACCAGCAGCACATTGGAGTTCTGGAAGCTTTCTCTGTATCTATTGCCGCAACGTGTGTCTTTGCATATGATTTTTGATTGCATAAAATCGTCTGTGCACGTGCTTTACCATGCCCTGACCAATATTTTTTGGGCGCGTATCGAGTCCACTTGGGAGCTGAGTTTCCGGCAAGGTGGCAAAGCCTTCCAGCTTCTTTTTCAAGGGTGCTTGCATGACTTTGCGCAAATCCTAGCAAGGCCAGCATGAATTTGAATCCAGAATTCTATGTGCTTAGATTCTAAGCCTAGACATATACACACACATATGTGATATATATATACATACACATATACATATAGAAAATATCAGCAGTTCTATTACTATCTATTACTTAAAGCATATACCAGCTTCTTCGAAGTGGCTTCGAATTGAAGCCTCTTAATATCAAAATGAATTGAGTCCACTTAGGACATATGTCTTCCATGTTCAGAGTCTAAGTGGCCTCTTTTGGATTTTGATATTGGGTTGGTAAGTGGCCTTTTGATATTCAACCTTTGATAAGGGGCATGTTGTGTTTGAGCCTAGGGAGTGATGATGATCCAAATGGTATGATCGGTTCCGCACTGGCCCCCACACAGCATCTTCCAGCACTGCACCTGCAGAAGGAACAACTGTGGTGGTTAGATCTGTGTAATTTCAACCATTGGGTTTATTCCAGGTGCAACTGTTTTACTCATCAAGAGTGCGCATTTCAGCGGCAATTGTGGCTCGCAAAAATTGTTTGCGCAAGTGACAAGGTGTGCAATAGTTTTAGCTACACATAGCACCAGGAATCACCAGGACATGATTTTAAAAAAAACATGTGCATATGAAATAACAAGACATTTGGTCACCCTGACTTGACCCGGTGTATGCTATGGCAGCTGGTGATTCTGGGCCCAACCTCAAGGATTTGTCCTCTGATGGGAGGAATCTTGGTTGGCAAGAGAATTCCAATCATGAGAGAATTATATTTTCTTTAGCTGAATGGATTCAAAAATATATATGTTTGTAACTTAAGTGGATGCAAAACTGAATCACTTCAAATGCTGGCCCATATCTATGATTCCAACACCACCAGGCAAAACACCTGCCTGCACATGAGGCGGCTCCGAAAATCGATTGAACGGTATATGCCTGTGGAGCATGTGAAGGCTCAGCAGGAATTGGTCCCTGGTGGTGACATCAGGATAAAGGGCAATATGTGGCTCAGGAAAGCATGGGAAAAATGCAAAGTGGTTAGGGTGCTAAGGGAAGCGGAAGTTCGTAAGTTGGTACGACACCTGGATCACCGCCACAATTTGTGTTCCCAGGTTGCATCAATGGGATTTGGTTTAACTTTCACATGATCACACTAGTGGCCCATGAAGATAAGGCGATGCCCCCACCTAGGTTCTTCAAAGGACAAGGCTTCGCTTGATTCGTGGGTTCGGGAAGAGGCGTCCTGGCTCCAAAATTGATATGTAATCACCCTCGATCATATATAGTAATATAATCCAATTAAAATTCTTATATGGTATGTCAACTCTATAAGATCGGTTTGTTTTTGATTTGATTCTTGAATGAGGCTGCAAAATGCCACAAAGTTCTTCTTCGACATAGGAAGACAGGATCAACATCCAGACCATCAACTTCCAGCCTAGAAGGTAGACCACCGATGCTTGGACCCTTTCCATCCTACTGGGCCCATGATTTTCTGGTGCACCTTTCAGGTGTGCATTACTACCCCTATAGCTCAGGAACCCTGATGAACTAGAGACGCAGCCAATGTTCGATTTCCCGATCTTGGACGATGCTTCAATGCTTCTTGCCTTGGATTTAATTGGGAGAACTTTGGAAGGCCGGCCCAACCTTCCATCCAGCCCAGTCCCATGTCCAGCACCCATAGTGCACCTGGTCGATTTGTTCTTCCAAGGTTGGCATCTGGGGCCCTTCCTGACCAGAACAGCGATGAGGATTGACTCTCAAATATGTGGTTTCACCAAAAAAACATCTTTAGATTATATATCACCCTTCAACTTAAAAAAAACCTGATTTATGGAAGGCAGATGGTATACCAAAATATTTGCAATAGTTGTTTGCTACTTTCCACTTTCAAAAAAAAAGCAATCGGCAGGACGAGGAAGACCAGCAAAGAGGTCTCAAGAGGTCTGCACCCTGGGAGGCTGCACCTGACACAGAAGATGACTCCCACTCTGCCGCTACATCAGATAGCGAAGATGACTGTGACAGTGAAGATGAGACGCAAAAGACAAAAGACAGAAAGTCTGACCCAAAGAAGATCCGAGATGAGAAGAAAAAAAGTGAGCATAGCGACAAGGACACTGCCTCTACTGAGTATACTGATGACGAAGACAACGAAGAGAAGAAGGCAGGTGAGGATGGCAAGATGGACAAAGAGTCCAGTGATGAGGAGGATGATGAAGCGAAGAAGACAGATGATGATGGCAAGATGGACAAAGAGTCCAGTGATGAGGAGGACGAAAAAGAGAAGAAGACAGATGATGATGGCAAGATGGACAAAGAGTCCAGTGATGAGGAGGACGAAGAAGAGAAGAAGACAGATGATGATGGCAAGATGGACAAAGAGTCCAGTGATGAGGAGGACGAAAAAGAGAAGAAGACAGATGATGATGGCAAGATGGACAAAGAGTCCAGTGATGAGGAGGACGAAGAAGAGAAGAAGACAGATGATGATGGCAAGATGGACAAAGAGTCCAGTGATGAGGAGGACGAAGAAGAGAATGATGAAGAAGAAGAGGACGAAGAAGAGAAGAATACAGGTGAGGATGGCAAGATGGACAAAGAGTCTGGTGATGAGGACGATGAAGAAGAGAAGCAGGCAGGTGAGGATGGAAAGGTGGACAAAGAGTCCAGTGATGAGGAGGAGGAAGATGAGAAGGACGAAGAGAAGAAGATAGGTGAGGTTGGGAAGATGGACAAAGAGTCCAGTGATGAGGAGGATAAAGAAGAGAAGGACGAAGATGAGAAGAAAACAGGCGATGATGGCAAGGTGGACGAAGAGTCCAGTGATGAGGAGGATGAAAAAGAGAAGCAGGCATGTGAGGATGGCAAGGTGGACAAAGAGTCCAGTGATGAGGAGGAGGAAGATGAGAAGGAGGAAGAAGAGAAGGACGAACAAGAGAAGAATACAGGTGAGGAGGGCAAGATGGACAAAGAGTCCAGTGATGAGGAGGACGAAGAAGAAAATGACGAAGAAGAGGAGGACGAAGAAGACACGGATGAAGAAGAGAAGAATACAGGTGAGGATGGCAAGATGGACAAAGAATCCAGTGATGAGGATGAAGAAGAGAAGAAAACAGGCGATGATGGCAAGGTGGACGAAGAGTCCAGTGATATCCAGGTGAGGAGGACAAGTGATGAGGAGGACGAAGAAGATAAGAAGACAAATGAGGATGCCAAGATGGACAAAGAGTCCAGTGATGAGGAGGACGAAGAAGATAAGAAGACAAATGAGGATGCCAAGATGGACAAAGAGTCCAGTGATGAGGAGGACGAAGAAGATAAGAAGACAAATGAGGATGCCAAGATGGACAAAGAGTCCAGTGATGAGGAGGACGAAGAAGATAAGAAGACAAATGAGGATGCCAAGATGGACAAAGAGTCCAGTGATGAGGAGGACGAAGAAGATAAGAAGACAAATGAGGATGCCAAGATGGACAAAGAGTCCAGTGATGAGGAGGACGAAGAAGATAAGAAGACAAATGAGGATGCCAAGATGGACAAAGAGTCCAGTGATGAGGAGGACGAAGAAGATAAGAAGACAAATGAGGATGCCAAGATGGACAAAGAGTCCAGTGATGAGGAGGACGAAGAAGATAAGAAGACAAATGAGGATGCCAAGATGGACAAAGAGTCCAGTGAGGAGGAGGATGAAGAAGAGAAGGAGGATGAGGACGGCAAGGTGGACAAAGAGTCGAGTGATGAGGAGGACGATGAAGAGAAGAAAACAAATGAGGATGACAAGATGGACAAAGAAGAGTCCAGTGATGAGGAGGACGAAAAAGAGAAGAAGACAGATGATGATGACAAGATGGACAAAGAAGAGTCCAGTGATGAAGAGGACGAAGAAGAGAAGAAGACAGATGATGATGGCAAGATGGACAAAGAGTCCAGCGATGGCGATGAGGATGAAGAGGTGGCAGAAGAAAAGACAAGGAGTGAGGGTGGCACTACAAAGAAAGTAGATGAGACCAAAGAGAAGCCAAAGAGTGTGGGACGACCAAGTGCAGCTGCTTTGGGATTCTCCACAGTTGGCATGACCGACAGTGAAGTGGCTGAGGCAATGGCCCAGGAAGCATACAATCCCAAAAAAAATATGCCCAAGAAAAGTGTAGCGAAACCAAAGTCGAAAGCAAAGGCGAAAGCAAAGACGAAAACTGGAAGAAAGAAACAAAATGTGAATGAAAGTGATGATGACAGCAGCTCCACATCGTCTTCAAGCACTACTAGCTTAACTTCAAGCTCTGACGATGAGAACAACAAGACTGAGAACAAGGCAGGAACTCTTGTCTTGAACGTTCGAAAACACTTCCCCATGACCAACATCAGGAGATGGATGACTCCAGGATCAAGGTTCCCAATGCCTGAAATGCTTCAGCCACTGTTAGGAACAAAACGGAAAATACAACTGAAGCTTGATGATCACTGGACTAAAAAGACCGAAAGTCCAGACAATTTCTCTCATCAGTGTTTGAATGATACCTCAAGTGATGCCAAGCTTGGCAAGGAAGAGGAGCCCAGCAGAAAGGAGAAGGAAAGTGAAGGAGAAAGGCCGAAGGATGATCTTCCTATTCCCCGACACCGTCGTCGAACCAAAAGTTGGAGATACTCAGATTGAAATTATGGCCTCCCTTTTACAAACCCTGCAGCCTATATAGAGCTATATCATGCTATATTTGCATATAACTATATAGTACAACCATTTGTCTCCCCATCCATTTACAAAGTTTCCCTGTAGCCAACATGCCCTATGTGTTTCCTTCAGGAAGCCCTGAGAAACCTGCTGCCACCATGAAAGCCACGGAGGCCCCGGAGAAAAAAGCAGCTGCACCTTGGTGGCAACTGCCAAGAACTTTCTTTCTGCACATCTTCCTGGCGGATCATGCGATGTTAATTAATTAGTCTGATTGGTTTGGAAACCCAGGGATTGATTTTTGCAAAAGAACATGGGGACACTTTTAGGGGGA